AAATCGGGGGGAAATTGGGGAAATGATGGGGGAAATATTCAGGATAAATTGGGAATAAATCGGGGGGGAATTGGGGAAATGATGGGGAAATATCAAGGGGAAAATGGGGGGAAATGGGGAAAAAAATTGGAATAAATTGGGGAAAAATCGGGAAGAAATGGGGAAAAATCAGGATTAAATTAGGAATAAATTGGGGGAAAATGGGGAATAAATTGGGGGAAAACGGGGAATAAATTGGGAAAATATCAGGGACACTCAGTGGCAATCCCAGTGCTCCCAGTTTGTGTCACTCACTGGTTTGAGGCGCACTCGGTGACACTCAGGGACAGTTGGTGACAATCTCGGTGCCAACTCCCGGGACTCGCGGCCACGCAGCGCCCGTAGCGCTCCAGCTCCGGCCCGCAGAGCTGGGCGGTGACAGCCAGCGCCTCCCTGCGACAACCACAGCGACAGCGACACTATCGCGACAGTGGGGACAGCCGGGGGGGCACGAGCGGGGGACACCGAGGGGACATCGCGGGGCTGGGCTGGGGGGACGCTGAGGGGACACTGAGGTAAGAACTGGGGGACACTGAGGGGACATGAGGGGCGGGACTGAGGGGACACTGAGGGGACATTGAGGTAAGAACTGGGGGACACTGAGGGGACATGAGGGGCTGGACTGAGGGGACGCTGAGGGGACATGAGGGGCTGGGCCGGGGGGACACTGAGGGGACACTGAGGGGACATTGAGGTAAGAACTGGGGGACACTGAGGGGACATGAGGGGCTGGACTGAGGGGACACTGAGGGGACATGAGGGGCTGGGCCGGGGGGACGCTGAGGGGACGTTGAGGTAAGAACTGGGGGACACTGAGGGGACATGAGGGGCGGGACTGAGGGGACGCTGAGGGGACGCTGAGGTAAGAACTGGGGGACACTGAGGGGACATGAGGGGCTGGACTGAGGGGACGCTGAGGTAAGAACTTGGGGACACTGAGGGGACATGAGGGGCTGGGCCGGGGGGACGCTGAGGGGACATGAGGGGCTGGGCCGGGGGGACACTGAGGGGACATTGAGGTAAGAACTGGGGGACACTGAGGGGACATGAGGGGCTGGACTGAGGGGACGCTGAGGGGACATGAGGAGCTGGACCGGGGGGACACCGAGGGCACCTTGGGGATCAGGACCGAGGGACACGGAGGGAACATCAGGGGACACGGCCCGGCCCCACCACCCCTCACTCACATGGCGCCTCTTTCTCCTCCACCGCTTCACTTCCGCCACTCCCTCGCTCTGCGCATGCGCAAACTCCGAAGCGGGAACTGCGGGTTCGGCGCATGCGCAGTAGCCAAAGCGAAAGCGGAAGCGGCGCTCTGAGGGCGGAGGGAAAATGGCGGCGGCCGTGGCGGCCCCTGAGGACGAGCTGGTCTCGTCGGTGACGCTTTACCGGCGGCGGCCGCGGCTGCTCCGCGGTACCGTGCTGCCCTTCGCCGCCGGTCTCTACCCGGCTTGGTTATGGCTGTGGGGGCCGCGCCTGTGGGGGCCGGCGGAGGCGGCGGGGCCGCCCGAAGCGGCGTTGTTGGCACTCGGCGCCATCGCGGCGCTGCAGCTGCTGACGGCGCTGGCCGGGCTCTGGTCCGTGCACGCCGAGTGCGCCCTCAGCTGCGTCAGGGTGAGCGCGGGAAAGGGATCGGGCTGTGAGGGGGGGTTTGGGGTCTGAGGGGGAATTCGGGGCTGAGAGGAGTTTGGGGTTTGAGGAGGATTTAAGGGCTGAGGGGGATTTGGGATCTGAGGGGGATTTGGGATCCGAGGGGGATTTTAGGTTTAAAGAAGGTTTGGGATCCGAGGGGGATTTGGGATCCGAGGGGGATTTGGGATCCGAGGGGGATTTGAGGAGAATTTTAGGTTTAAAGAAGATTTGGGATGTGAGGGGGG